CAAGATTTGGTATTACCATTGGTACCATCAAATTGTGAAAGGTTCTTATAAATCTTCTTATATTCTTTTTGTTATAAATATCAAAAATCATGCACTATATATATTTTATTATGTCATATCTTGATAAAATGGCAATAGTCCCGCAATTGTCAAGTAGATAACCAAAAAGCACGTAATATGTACCCTAAAAATGTAAACAAAGCCCTAAATGTAAACAACTCCTTAACTAATAAATAAACAACTGTGGTATTGTCAAATTGATTTTTGAAAGCTGAAATTGACGTGTATGATTTTAGTTCTCTTATTTCGAATTATTGATGCAGAAATAAATAAGTGCTAATATTTTCAGGGTTGGTAGATCTCGATAAAAGAAACATATTTTCTCTTTATCGTTATTCAAGTCCAAAATAACAGACCTGTTCAAGTTTGAAAATTTAAAAAAAAATGATTTATGTTTAAAAGAAATTGAGGGCCACTGGATTTTTTTTCTGTATTTGCATCCATTTGCATTCTTTAACCGTAGAGTAAAACCATAACCACGGTAATATCGGAGATTAAAGGAAAATTTGCGGTGAACAGGCAGTTTATCATCATGTGTAGAAAATATATAATTACGAGTATATAAAATAGACTATTATAGTGAGAACTATAGGTACTTTAATGATTATACCATACGATCGGGGGAATGACAATTGATGATAATTTTTGCGAGGTCAAGCCCTAGACGTCAACGCCGACCCGTAATCTTTATTTTTTAATGGCGCTTACTGCCAGTTGGCCTTAAGAAGACTATAATTTATTCTATTATTGAATAAACATTATTTTAACTGGTGTAGTTTAAAATAAAATTTGTAGGTTAAAATGCCAGAAAAAAAACTGGAAATCGATTGGTGTGTCTGGAAACGTCCTATCCTTTATTAATCTTTCTATAATTAGTGTTAATTTTGACAAGTTTTATGACAATTAAATAAGTAAATGACGTCTAGGGATAGACCTCGTCAAAATTATCATCGACTGTCATTCTCCTGCCATTTTTGCTGCCGTTTTTATCCTAATGTAGAAATTTAAAACTTTTAGAGTTAAACCGGTTAAATTAATATACAGGGTGGCCCATCGAAAACGTTCCGCAAGGCATAAAGGCCAGGGTAATTTTTTTTTAAACTTTTGCCCCAAAAATGATTGTCAAATCTTCAACCCTCCAAGCGGGGGTGTCATCCCTCAATTTTTTTCAAATGGGAAGGGGGGTCAAGTGGTACCGCAATGAAAAGGGCTGTCTATTCTCTATACTTTCCCGCTTTGTTTTTGAAAATCGGTCGAGTCATTGAGAAAATATGAAGGATTGAAATTTGAAAAGTTTATTTAAACATTTATCAGAGTAAATGATAAGGATAAATTCCTTCGACCAATTTGCTGTTTTGTTATTATTTCTAGATGTTTACGCATTTTTTCACTTGCCACAAGGTTGAACGATCAGGTTAGGTAGAGTGTACTTTCTTTTTAAACGGTGTAGTTAATCGGCACAACTGTCGGTACTGGGCTGAGGACAACCCCAGGGTTTTTCACGAGGTGCACACACAAAACCCTCAGAAATTGAAAGTGTGGGCTGGTATTTCTAGAAAATCTATTGTGAGTCTTTTTTTCTTCCTGGAAATCTAACAGGATTTACTGGAAAATACCATCGACCTAGCCCTAACTGATATCATAGAGAACAATCCTGGATACGTTGAAGCAGAACTGATATTTCAACAAGATGGTGCACCTCCACATTACTCTCAAAATGTGCGTAATTATTTAAACAATAACTTTCCCGTTCGGTGGATAAGACAAAGGGGTGCAATTAAGTAGCCTCACCGGTCACCCGACTTGACTCCTTTAGACTTTTTTCTATGGGGACACACAAAAAGTAAAGTGTATAGCACTCCACCCGCCTCATTAGAAGACCTGCGAAGACGAATTATTGATGTTTGTCGCGAAGTGACACCGCAAGTTCTTCAGAATGTTCTAGAACGGATTGAAAATAATTTGTTTTGCTGTATTGAGGTTGACGGGCAACATTTTCAGCATTTGCTTCATTGATAAGATAAGTTTTTTTTTAATTAATTCAAATTCAATTGAAAAAAAAATCCCCTGGCTGTTATGCCTTGCGGAACGTTTTCGATGGGCCACCCTGTATACAAGGTACAGTACGTCTGTCCGTTCTGTGGCCACGGGGTATCCGTGAGAGGGGAAACGATATTCTCTCGATGTTTTTCCTAAAAAATTACACGACGCGTCCCATCAATAAAAATTCGACAAATTTGCAAGTAGCCAATAAAATGAGTGGGCGGAGCGATTTGCGGTGACGTACTCGTCAAGTCGACGTATAAAATATATTGCTGTTTATTTAAATGTTTTTTGCCCGCATTCCTTTCATAGACACAGATCCAGCAGACGAACTGTATACATGATTGTTGGTGTTTTAATAAGCTGTAAAACAATGTTTTATCACTTTCAGGTTTTGTTCAAATGTCATAATTAACCTTGGTTTTCCTATAAATATTTAATAGGAAGCATTAAGCAGTACGCTGAATTAGTACGCTATAAACCAAGAGGATAAACCGTGAGTATCCCAAAAGAAGATGACAAAATGAAGACGGATATTTTCGTTTCAATGAAAAATTATAACGATATTTTTTAGCCGAAAGAAATATTGTAATTTTTGGATAATTTAAGAATAATTTTTGGGACATTTTTACTCAGTAGGCCATCTATATATTTACTGACAGATCCTGTTAGTTCCGATAAAACATATAATAACACAATGCTAAATATGTTTTAACATCATTTTATCCAGTAAACAGTAAAGTATCTTATTCGTGCCTTGCTTATAATCCAAACTTCGCTACGTGACCGGAAACACCCCTTGTTCAAACGTAAATCCGCTATCGGTCCAAAACGATCCCAACAGCGCCCACTATCCTCTCCATTTTATCCCTCAAAAAATATAAATATAACGGGCAAAATAAAAAATATAATAATATATAAACGGGCAAACAGGCCAACCAGGAAGAAATGCAGCCGGGATTCCTTAGCCAATTTGCATAGCGGATGTTATGAGACTGATACGAGGCAGCTAGCCAGTTGTTGGTTAAAAAATTTATACGATAAAGTTTTGGAAGACTTTGTGCGATGTCGAATAAAACATTTTTTCATCATGTTTCAAATATAATAATGCCAAATTTTACTAATAATATAAAAAATCGCTTTTATTCACCTCGCTAGTCTAATGATTTTTTTTTGTTTTTTTTATCTACACTGAGCATAATAAACAGACATTAGAAATTGGCTTAGGATAATAAATATTACCAAAAAGTATAAATCAGTTATTATATTATTTTATAACTATATATCAATTTGTTTTCGCTGTACAGAGTATCCCATTTTGGTTGCAATTAAAGATATAATGCTTATTATTAAAGATAGAACCACGAACCCAAGATACTTGTTGTGAAACCAAAGATTTCGTTAACAAAATGTTCATGGTCTCCTTAGTTTCTATGATATAGCGTATATTTAAAACTTCAAGCACACCTTGTATTTCAGTTATCTAATAACTTATTAAAAAGCAATAACAGATTATTACGAAATTTTTGTCCGAAATGCAGTAGCAGTAGTTTTGATTTCTTAATATTTTCGTTCTTTGCCGAGAAGAATAATTATTTCTTCTTTTCACAGAACCATCAAAAAAATATACACAGATATACACAGTTTAATAAATAATGACAAGAATCATAATATTTATATTACACATGTAAAATTTTACAGTGGGCCATTCAAAAGAATCGTTTTTGATAAGTTTTCAAGCAAATGAGATAGGAGGAATAGGTCGAATTGCAACATTTTCAAAATAACCATGTATCATTTAAATTAAAAGTCCGCGACAATTTTTGTCTACAATCTTTGGTTTCAGAAAAAGACACAAGTTTGACCAAATCACTGAATTAATTTTGCAATGCGTTTTATGTAACATAACCGTCTAAACTTGAAAAACCATATCCATTGATTTAAACAAGTTCAAATGGTGTTGTTAAAATGGCGTCAAGTAATTATAAATAAAATATGAGTATATCCAGGGTGAGTCTTAAATAAGTGCAAATATTTTAGGGGTAGTATATTTCGACCCCAAAAACACGATTATGAAGTTTTTTCGTGAAAAGAAATGTGAAAAATTAGAATATTTATTAGTTTTTAGCTAAAAACATAATTTCTTGATAATATGACAACATAGGTAGTAGATTAAATTTAGAAGAAAGAAAATCCAGAAAAGATGCTGTGGTTCTTAAAATTTTGTAAAAAAAAATATTTTTTTTGATTTTTTCAAAGTATTTCACTTTCAGTTCACTCAGTTATTTTGGATTTATCTTAAAAACAAAAGCAAAGAGAAAATATGTTCCTTTTATCGCGATCTATCAACTCTGAAAATAGTTGCACTTATTTAAGACGCTTTATTATGCTGTATATGGAACACAGAATCTGAACTATAAAATTAGTTAAAGAACAATAATTTCTAGCTTTAGCCAAGGGTACTAAATTTTTTTTCCAACAAAAGATAATTTAAATTCAATTGGTCGACATCCACCCTTAAGCTAGTTTGTGTGATATCTGGTTTGCTGTAGGATCATTATATAGGACAAATAAAGTAATGTAGCGTATTTTTTTGTTACATCTTTCTAAATCATAGAGTCATAAAAAAGTAAAAATGAAATCCTGAATATCCGGTTTTTTTTAATCTTCGGAAGTATTCTGAAATTTTAAACTTTTAAGGTGAAATTTCGAGCATCATCTAATTGCGTAAATTTGCAGAGGCAAACTTACGCAATTAGATGATGCTCGAAATTTCACCTTAAAATTTTATTTAACCGATCTCGTACCTCTTCCAAATTCCGAGTTGCCACTGATGATACTCAAATTTTACACCTTGTACCTTAATGATATGTAAAGATTGATAATTCTACACTTACTGACGGTCCACTATATTTACTCAATTCATGTGCAGGATGGGACAACACTTTTGCCCCATGGTCAGCTAAAGCATCATAGTAAATCTCATTGTCGTATTCATCCTGAAATAGAAAAAATATTTATTTTAGAATCATAATAACGAATTATTAACTTTTCGAAATAGAATATCCGATTAAAATATTTTATTCGTTTCTGATTGCCTTCATTACATTATGCCTGTTTATAAAAGCGCTCAGGATTATTTCATTATAATAAATTTAATTGGTAGAACGCACCGAACGGTTCGAATTTGTTATTTCAAATGTTACCGAATATTAATCTGGCCAACACGGCGCTATTCTCAATTAAATAAATAATTTCCATTGGAACGGATCCATAAAAAAATAAAAAAATAAATATTTACAATGGAAATTTATTTCCGCCATAAGCAATATTTACTTCACCGCAACTAACTTATCCGTAAATAAATTTGAATTATGTGTTGGATTTTTACACGAGTATAAACACAATGTAATGTAAAAAATATATAAAAAATATATATATGTATAAAAATATTTATTAATTATTGACAAAGTAATGAAATAAACGCATCTGCTAATTTTTACAGACAATTTATTTCATATATGTTTACAACAAAATACTGCTTCTTGTGCTTTTATTAGCCCAACTAGTTAAAATACAGTTAAAATATTAGTCCAACTGGAAACCACGCAGAGATATATTTACTTGGGCAGGGAACTAAACAGCCAGCTAGACCACTATAAGGAAATCAGAAGAAAGATTGAAAGGGCTGGTTTCCTCAACATGCAAAAGTTTTTTTTGGCATTCGATAATAGCTATGCCAACAAGGCTGAAGATATTAAAATGTAATATATAGCCCCTGCTTCAATATGGATGCGAAACAAGAACGCTAAAACAGGAAGACATCAAACGACTTAATGGTTTTGAAATATGGACGTCGTTCAACAGTCTTTTGGTGCATGCATGATGGACATCATACTAAAATTTGAAGCGTTTTGGTTTTACCTTATTAAGTAACCGTTACTGTTATCAGGTAGTAATTGTTAATTTTGAAGTTTAACTTGGTATAATGCCATTTTAACAGAACGTCAACGATTTTTGTAGACGTAACTGTTTAAAAAAAAACTAAAGTGTTCTCGAATAGTTGTATTTAGATATTTTAAATAGTTTTTTCTTTGTTCTTTGTTTTTTTTTGCTCCCGACGACGGAAAGAGATATACTTTCGAAATGTTAAGCATTTTCTTGTCCGTTAGGAAAATATGTTTATTAGTAAACCACTGCTGACAATTAGTCTCCTTTGGATTAATGCAGCAGTGTTTACAAATATAACTATTTTATTTTGTAGATTTTCTTACAGTGGCGAAATACTCATAGGAGTTTTTTGAACAGATGAATCCGCTACAGTGGTATAGACAATTTTTATAAAATACAGTATTATTCTCTGTTTTACTGCCTGAAATACATGACTGTAATGGGTATAATTAAAATTTCCACGAATTGGTATCTGCACTAAAAAGTTTTATTTCTGCATAACTCAAGTTATACTCAATAGAATTGAAAAAAATACATAAATTGATATTATGGTACTTTCCTAATTTTGTTATGTATGTTACAAATGTAAAAAAGTATAATAAATACAACAACTATATACAATATAACAACAATCTTACAATACAATAACAATCTTGAAATTTGTTATATTTACCCATATCTGATAAGCACCCACGAGGTTTTATAAAAGTCGGTGCCTCTGGTTCATCCATTACTTTTCATATTTTTTTGGAAACTATTGCACGCTATGCATGTAACTGTTTATGAAGCATCTTTCTAAAATTCACAATATCTCCATGCAATTCAAGTCCCAATACAAAATCTCTAAAAAATTGTAGACTTTGCCATAAAACGAATTATAAAATAAACAAAATAATCCAAGAAAGCTCAACAAATCTGCAAAAATGCAAATCACATTCAAATGTGTCAATTCAGATATCGAACAAAACTGTCAAGAATGAGGTATGTCAATATATGATATGTCAATACCATGGATGCATATAATATAAAAATAGTATTAGATTTATATCTTAAGTGTGATACAGTCATAAACTAAACACGTAGAATATTTTGCATTTTGCATGGAAACGAGACCAGACACAAAAGGCCATTTTAATGCAAGGCTCGTATCCCCTCGAACGCCCATATTAGGAGCGCGGCGTCCACAGTCAGACGCTCGCTAATATGGCTGCACAATATTGCGAAAATGTTTATAATAAGGCGAATTATTAGGGCCGTAAAATCTTTTATGTGTTTATGTTGGGCCCGCGCAAATATTTTACATAACAAAGGGATGAAATATTAAGGATTTTTTACTTTTAAAGTTTTGAAAGATGCGTCTCGGGTTTGTTTTAAATTTATTCTTGCTGGAATTTGTTATTCCGTTGTTTCCCTTTGCTTTTTAGTACAAAAATTCTGAAACTATTTAAAGCAAAGTTGTTAATTTGTGACTATTTAGAACATGCGTACAATATACTCTCGAGTTATGAATACGATTTAACATAAAATTTAATAAGTTTTGAAATCGATTTTACTAAAAGTTGGGACAAGAAAGAGTAAGAAATTGTAAGACAGCATTTATTTTTTGACAACATAATGCTGTTATATACAGAAATAGAAATGGTGTTTTAGTAAATGATGTTCTAGTAAAGCTTGACTAAAATGTAAATTCACATTTAAAGTATACTTGTGAATACGATTTTTTATTCTCTGTAAAAATAATCTGCAAATGTGAATTTAAACGTTGATGATAATTTTACCTTCTAGGTTGTGTCAGATGGTTTTTTACCAGTAAATATGCCCGTGATATATTTATTTACTGCTAATGTATAACTTCCGTTTCGATTTCAATATTGTAGTTTCCTATATTAACTGGGGTATGCTTTCTAATAGATACTATGCTGAAACAAGACCAAAATATTGCGACAATAGTGACTTATTCATTTTATTATGAAAAATATCATAGTAAATAATTATGATTTATAATATAAGATTTGCTCCTTAACTCTTTTAATACAAATATTTAATAACAACAATTAGCGCCTAAGACAAATTTTACGTAAATTAATTTTTAAAAAATATTATCTGCATGTGTTTACATCACTATATAAATATTTTTGTACATAAGTATATTTTAACACACAAAGTGTGATACAATCATAAACTAAACACGTAGAATATTTTGCATTTTGCATGGAAACGAGACCAGATACAAAAGGCCATTTTAATGCAAGGCTCGTATCCCCTCGAACGCCCATATTAGGAGAGCGGCGTCCACAGTCAGACGCTCGCTAATATGGCTGCACAATATTGCGAAAATGTTTATAATAAGGCGAATTATTAGGGCCGTAAAATCTTTTATGTGTTTATGTTGGGCCCGCGCAAATATTTTACATAACAAAGGGATGAAATATTACGGATTTTTTACTTTTAAAGTTTTGAAAGATGCGTCTCGGGTTTGTTTTAAATTTATTCTTGCTAGAATTTGTTATTCCGTTGTTTCCCTTTGCTTTTTAGTACAAAAATTCTGAAACTATTTTAAGCAAAGTTGTTAATTTATGACTATTTAGAACATGCGTACCATATACTCTAGAGTTATGAATACGATTTAACATAAAATTTAATAAGTTTTGAAATCGATTTTACTAAAAGTTGGGACAAGAAAGAGTAAGAAATTGTAAGACAGTATTTATTTTTTGACAACATAATGCTGTTATATACAGAAATAGAAATGGTGTTTTAGTAAATGATGTTGTAGTAAAGCTTGACTAATATGTAAATTCAAATTCAAAGTATACTTGTGAATACGATTTTTATTCTCTGTAAAAATAACCTGCAAATGTGAATTTAAACGTTGATGATAATTTTACCTTTTAGGTTGTGTCAGATGATTTTTTAACAGTAAATATGCCCGTGATATATTTATTTACTGCTAATGTATAACTTCCGTTTCGATTTCAATATTGTAGTTTCCTATATTAACTGGGGTATGCTTTCTAATAGATACTATGCTGAAACAAGACCACAATATTGCGACAATAGTGACCTATTCATTTTATTATGAAAAATATCATAGTATATAATAATTATGATTTATAATATAAGATTTGCTCCTTAACTCTTTTAATACAAATATTTAATAACAACAATTAACGCCTAAGACAAATCTTACGTAAATTAATTATTAAAAAATATTATCTGCATGTGTTTACATCACTATATAAAGATTTTTGTACATAAATATTATATATATATAAGTATATTTTAACACACAAAGTGTGATACAGTCATAAACTAAACACGTAGAATGTTTTGCATTTTGCATGGAAACGAGACCAGATACAAAAGGCCATTTTAATGCAAGGCTCGTATCCCCTCGAACGCCCATATTAGGAGCGCGGCGTCCACAGTCAGACGCTCGCTAATATGGCTGCACAATATTGCGAAAATGTTTATAATAAGGCAAATTATTAGGGCCGTAAAACCTTTTATATGTTTATGTTGGGCCGGTGCAAATATTTTACATGACAAAGGGATGAAATATTAAGGATTGTTTACTTTGAAAGTCATGATCTCGGGTTTGTTTTATATTCATTCTTGTTGGAATTTATTATTCCGTTGCTTCGCTTTGCTTTTTAATACAGAAATTCTGAAACTATTTTAAGCAAAGTTGTTAATTTATGACTATTTTGAATATGCGTACCATATACTCGAGTTATGAACTTATTTTTTGACAACATAATGCTGTTATACAGAAATAAAAATGGTGTTTTTATAAGCTTATTTATATTATTTTCTCAAATATGATGTTTATATGTTATAGTAATGTTTGACTAAAATGTAAATTCACATTCAAAGTTTACTAGTGAATATTATTTTTATTCTCTGTAAAAATAACTAACAAATGTGAATTTAAGAGTTCATGATAATTTTACCCGTTAGATTGTGTGAGATGATTCTTTTAGCAGTAAACATGCCCGTGATATATTTATTTACTGCTACTGTTTCGATTTCAATATTGTAGTTTCCT